CTAGCTGGAAATAAAAAAAAAATGTATGTGCAAATATTTGAGAATACACAAAATGAACTGTTATCCTGAGCACACGTGCAAAGTATGGATTTGAAACCAGGAGCTGCAGGCAGTAGGTGTCAAATTCTCAATCTAAACTATGCATTGAAAGACAGAAAGGATTGCAGTCACAAAGAGAAGAGAGAGCAAGTGTGGGTGCACTCAGGGTGGGGCGGGACAGACCCCTGAACAAAGTTCCAGAGGCTGGAATGGGTGTGACACATGCAGATGAGAGCTCCCCTGCCTGGTGCCCAGAGGCTGATGGCTAGACTAGCTGAGAGCAGGGGCAGGGCCAGACGTCAGGAGGCTTAAAAGCCAAGTTGTTTTATGCAGGATGAAGTTGACAGAGCTAGAAAATGAGGGCTGAATGGTCTTATAGAACTGATTCCAAGGGTCACAGGGAACCTGTGGGATGGCACAAGAAACTAAAAGATGGTGACAATTTCAAGGGTGATTCTGAAGGCAGAAGAGGACCTAGAGCCAGAATGAATGCTGAGAGTAAAGGAAACCTCCTTGCCAGGGCTGCTACAAAAGGAATCATCATGCCTGCTATTAATGACACCAAATGGCCTCCAGGGTCCTTTCTTGTCATAAACTTTTATGAGAAGGCAAAGATGGCCGCAAAGTTTGCTGCTGGCCACCTACGGAATGGTGATTCCACTGAGAAAAATGGGAATGCCAAGGAGTCAGGGTATGGGTAGGGTGAGTAACTTAGCTGTGGTGTGTTGCATTTAAGGAGGATACACTAAATCAAACTCCTTCCTCACTCTGACTAGACTCCTTCGGCTGAAATGGCAAGAGAGCACATACTGGCAAAGTGGGCACATCTGGAGAGACCAACACAGGTTCTAGAATGACCAGCTGGCAGCCTCATCAAAAACTCAGGTTTGGGCTATAAGGTGCCAGATGACCCAGCTCTTAGTTGGAGCTTAAACTCATCATAAAACTCTGGCAACCAGTTGCCACGACACCTTTTCCAGTGAAAGGCTGCAGGAAGCACAAGTGTTCATGGCTGGGAGAAGGGTCTAGCCAAGACATCATCTTAAACCTCCTGAGACGGGCTGTGTAACTCAATTCTCTGCACGGAAGCCTGCTCCTCGAAGCCTGTATAGTCAGTAATACCCTCAACTCTCTGTCCCTCAGTGTGGCACCTCCAGCACCTGCTTTCCCTGAGCTCAGCCACAAAGCATTGCAGGAGGAACATCACAAAACCGTGGGCTCGGCACACCATAAATTCATGCACTCTAACTGAAACTAGACTCTCACTGCCATCTTCCTGCCCCACAGGTTTAATGCCTTTGAACCCTCTTGATCACTCAGCTCCTTTTCCATTGTTTTCAATCAGCAAATCCTATCAAATTCTTCTGTCAAGTCTCTCTCATCTTTGTCTTCCTTTCCATTCAGAGGTCCAAACCCCTGGTACTTGTATTTGTAATTATCTGTTACATCAAATTTCTTGTACCATAATATGTTAAAAACCAAATGCTAAAATTCCTTTATATTACAAAAACCAAGTATCTAAATGTAAACAAATAAAAATTTGAATTAAAAAATTAAAATGAAAGATATTTTTCCCTGAAAGTTTGGGCCAAAACCGTGGGTGCACGTTATACATGGGAGCACATTATACATGGCAAAATACAATACTTTTAATTCCCACCACTCTCCGCAACCAACTCTGCCCTGGTCAAGCCAGCCAATGGCCCATCTCTCATTTCCTAGTGCATTTTTTTTTGCAAAGTCAAAGTAGTGTATTGAGTAAAGATCTACGCCATAGGCAGAATAGAGGTTGCCTCCAAAACGAGACACCTCTCGTGCATTTTAATAACTTGAACACAAGGACTGTTTTCAAATGACTTACAAATAATAAACATAGCGTTCTGACTGACCCAAAGTGTCTTAAATATCTCCTTTAGAATATTATGAATGTTGAGCAAAGATTCTTCTCTGAAGCATTACTGCTCTCCTACCCAGTGTTGTCTGGGGACCTCGCCACTGAACATGCGCATCTAGCATTTTATAGCCCGACTTGACACACATTGATGTGGCCATTGATTCCATTATTTAGCAGGGTAGGTCCAAGCTGGAGGAACGTCTGACAATCTGAGACTGTTGGAGAAAGCAACACCCTCAAAGGACTCAAAAGGGCTTTCCAGAGAGAACAGGCTTGGGTTAAACAAACAGCTATGTTTAGTTGCTTCCTGAATGTGTTTTCTCAATAAACAGACCTTCTATAACATTGCCCCCGCCCCCCACACAAATGGCAGAGTGCTGCCAAGAGGGGTATGAGTGGTTAGACAGTAATGGCTTAGAAACACCTAGCATGCACAGTATGTGGAATACACAGCAAGATGTCCAGATCCTAAAACCCAAGCCACCACTGAATGGTAGTAAACATACTGTTCTTTGGCTACTCTGGGGATTAGCAGAAAACAGGGTGTCTGAGGCTCTAGGACATGACTGCCACAGGCTAGCTAGACTGAGGAGCTCTCCAAGCCATTTTCCACAACTGCTGAGTTGATGGACCCATTTCTGACAATACTGAAGAGAAAGAACTATAGTATATTTTACCATGAAGCTGCCCTTATCATGCTATATTCTTCTTCCTCTTTCACTTATCTGCATTCAGAAGAGGAAAGGAAATGTGATAAAGGTTTTGGGTGCCTTTACCTCTCTGGGCCTTGATGTCCTCATCTGTAAAACGAGAACATGACACGAGGTGAACAAGTCACCCAACGTAACACTTTATGAACCCAGGCTGCTACTCCACGTAGTCCAGGTATAATAGTTTGCCTCGTTCTGACCCTAACGTTTGCATAGTAGATCCAACTGGAAAAGTGTCCCTAGCCATGCACTATCTGAATAGCACTCAGTGAAACCTGCTTTGAGGCTTTAATGCCCTGGAACTGGAGCTGAGATAAAAATCATGTGCAGGAGAAGCCACTCAGTAAGATAACTGCTGCCTGCTCAATTTCCAGCATGGACCCTGCTTGTCCTAAGGGCCTCACTTCCACTCCGATCACTGCTGAGAACAAAGAGAAAGACCAGATGGCACGAGGCTGCAGGGCCAGTGAAGTGCAACTGGTCGCAACACACAAGCTGCCATACCCGAGTTCTTGGCTAAGGACCCGAACATGTGGTGACAAGGATGTTGGTTAATGGCAATTCTGGAAAAGCCGTTTCATAGGGGAGGGGGAAAATTTTTACTTGTCTTTAAATCAATGAAATGTGTGAAGACCAAGTTGGGGACGTGGGATGTGCTGGAGGAAGAAACTCCCATCTCTTCCTGCGGCTACTTCAGCAAATGTCTTCTTGGGCTCTTTGGGGCCTGTGGTTCCTTCCGATTCTCACCGTTATTCTCTCCTTGTTAGCCACTTCACTCCAAGGCAAGCTATACTCTCCCCAAGCTCAGGAATTTCAGGGAAACCACACACTGTATGACCCCACCACCGCTGCCCAGAGAGCTACCAGCAGAGGCAGCTTATTTTGCAACTAAAAGGGCAATGAAAGGGGGGCAGTCAGAGGTGGAGGAATGGCAGGACCTGAGTGTACTACAGACCTGTGGATGACAGTTACCTTTGAAAAGCCTAAAACCTGGCAACTTAAATTAAGCCTGGTTCTGAGCGAAGCAATGCTGTTCGCCTTCACACAGGTGGTTAAAAAAAACAAAAAAAACAAAGGAGCTCAGCAAGATTCACTCAGTGCCACTCAAGGAAACTGGAAGAGTCTGCTAGTAGAAGATGGAAACAATTTAGCAGTCTTTCTTACCCTGAGAACCGGCTTATTTTTTTTTTTTACATGGAAAGCACATGCAAGCTTCTATACTCGGCAAAACCCAATACAACTCAGCCCTCCTGCTGTCCACAAAGAAGCCACCCCATGCCTCTGACTTTCCTCCGGTGTAATTAAGCTGTCTCCATAACTCTCGCTGTAAGTGCTACGAGCATTCAAGAGTTGTATTCTTCATATTCAAAACTTTAAACCAAAATGAACACTATACTCAATTCCTTCTCTGCTTATTGAAATGACTATGATTCCCTTTTAGCTCTAAAGAACATTCAGTAACAATGGTTTTCACACTGTATTCCAATAAGCCCAGTTACTAATGTGGTTTGGGAGGAAGGGGCGGGGTGAGGGGAACCACCTCTTGCACAGCTGCTTTTACCTGCCTCTGATGCCATATGTTTGAAGAAAAGATTCTAACGTTAAAAAAAAAAAAACAACTTAAAAATCACAGTGGTAACAGACTAGAGTACAATACACAGTCTTACATAACCCCCAAGGCACTATTTTGTTATATGACAATTATGATTAGCCAGCACTCAATGACCAGGGCTAGCAGGTGTGAACAGTGTAGTAAACAAATGTCATTTACTGAAAACCCTAATTTTAGCCAATGGTTTCAACCATCCATCTCCAACTGTTTTTTACCTCAGCAAACAACTAGTAAACAGAGTTGAACTTCTAATAAAATGTACACACGGGAACAGTAAAGACAAAGTGAAAACTGGTTTGACTATGTGAATCTAGGTAATCGGCCCTTATATCTTCAGTTGTGAATCATAACATACTAAAGAAACAGCAGACCAGCAACGCCAGATGCAGGATATACATGGACGTGTTGAGAAATCGGCTCCGCCACCGGGGCAGGTAGTGTGCTACACTGGCCATAATCCCCAAGACAATCATAATGTGCCAATCAGAAAGCCACTTTAGTGCATTTCTATGACAAGACTGACTCAGAGTCTGGGCCGTTCTGTTTCAAGCACAAGAAACAGAAAAGGCAGAGCAACCAGGGATGTAGCCTGGCACAGCTCACCTGTACAGCCAGGGACATGGCCCCGGCACAGCTCACCTATGCAGCCAGGGCACAGCCCAGCACAGCTCACCTGTGTAGCCAGAGACGTGGCCCGGCACAGCTTACCTGTGCAGCCAGTAGGATGTGGCCCAGCGCAGCTCACCTGTGCAGAACTCCTTGCTCACACTGTGAGGCACTGTGATCCGTCGGTACACAATGGGCTCTGACTCCAGGATATTCTCATCATGGCGGTACCGAGCAGGCCTTTCATTTGGGATGCCCCGGGAACGGGTGCCACTTCTCCTCTCATACGTATCAATCTCCTCAAACACGGCTGCCTTGTCAAAAAGGGCCAGGTTCCCTTCAAAATCAAAATCCGTGTCTGGGATCTCTTCAATGTCATCCCCGAAGCACTCGTCATCTTTATTCTTCATCTGGCCATTTTTTAAACCACTTTTCTTTGGAGTTGCCTGATTTGGGTGCCTGCTACTAGATGACCCTGGAGGAAAAATTGGGACTAAAGTCAGTGTAGCCATAGAAAGCGCTCAGTGGAAGCAGAACACACATTAGTCCCTTATGGAGGGAGTTACAGGAATCAAAGTGAAGATGCCTCAGTCATGTTAAGTAGCATAAACTACCACAAATCTCCTGGGAGAATAGATTTTACATATTACCCAAGTAACAGAGAATATGAAATAAGCAGCATTCCTGGAACTCTTAACCAGCTCTACCCTTCATAAGGAAACTGATAATGACAAGAGACTTCTGACAACTGAATATCAAAAAGCTAAAGGGCAAAAACCCACCAGTCTAGGCGGCCTGATCCTGAATGTCTGGCAGCGGTTTGAGAGAAATACTCCAGAGTAAAAGAAAGCCAAGTCCTCATAACCTGACGCTCACAGGAAGCTACTATTCACCTGGCTCTTAATTCTATGCTCACCAAACGAGCAACCTTCTGGTTTTTAATCTGATGCCAGGCTAGACCCCAGCGGGAGGGAATCTCTGGTGTTGACAGATTCCCGAGTCTGAGCCAGATACACGCCACCCCACTCACTGTAAGTTGGCATTTTGACTTCTACACCTGTTTTTAGATCTTTTGGTTAATGTGATCTCTTTTCTCAGAATTTTATCACTTTCAGGTAAGCACTTTCTGAAGCATCAAATAATGAATGACAAGGACCATAATGACCTGATCCTGTAAAGGCCACACCAAGATACATACACACCAGAGCAGCTGGCCACTCTCTGTCTCAGAGACTCTATTTGGCCACCACACATCAGTCAGCTACTCCTCTAGCAGCCAAGGCAACAGACCCCACAGAATTCTCCAAACTATCCATTCCCAGACAGTATAATCTTATACCTGTCATCCGACTTCTCAGTTTCCTTGTATATGTAAAATGCTCATTGTGTTATCCCCAGAAGGGTTTCTAGCACATAGCATGCAGTCAATAAACATTTAATGAATTACTCAGCATCAGCAAGATTAATTACAATAATTATTCTGAAAGATGTATACTATGCAAACGTAACTTGTGTCCTAGTCTTCCTAATGCCAGACATTGGTATGGAAAAGGGATGTGGCTGGCAGGAAAGATGAGATTTAGTCCTCTGAAAGCTAAGGCCAACCAAAATAAAGAAAGGGAGGAAGAACTGGCTGAGTCACCATAAACAGCTCAGACTCTGAACCACCGAGAAGCTCATCCATGTCTGGGCTAAGTTCTAATTCCAATAATTTGATAAAAGCATTTAATGAGAGCATGCTGTGTGCCAGAGCTAGGTGGCTGGATTACAATATATAACCAAGACATGCTACTCAAAACAGAAGGAGGAGAGCTATTTAAGCAAATAACTAAAATACCATGTGATGAGAGTTATAACAGAAGTTTATATAAATTGCCATAGAAATAAGGATGAAACAAGGGCCGGCCGAGTGGCTCAGTTCGTTAAGAGCTCGCTCAAGAGTTTGAGCTCTGAGCAACGGCGGTTTGAGTCCCGCCCAAGCTGAGCAGCCGCTGAGCTGCCAACAGGTAGCAGGATGGCTCAGCTTAAAAAAAAAAAAAAGAAAAGAAAAGAAATTAGGATGAAACAGCAGAGCTGGATTAGGAGTGGGAGAGCAGGAATGAAAATACACGGTCAGGATAACACCATTAGCAATATATGCTAGCAGGGGGGAAGAACTAGAGAAAAAGTCCAGTTTGCAAAATTATCAATGTACTGCCTCAATATTAAATCAAACCATTCTATCAGGAAACAGGTCTCTGGCCCAGTGGTCTTCCCCGCAGTGGGGATGTGCACACTAGGAGTGTACAGAAAGATCCCCTGAGAGTAGGGAGAAGGTACTAAATATTCTATTTACTTTTCCTTTTAACTAAAACCAGTAAGAAATCAAGCTTTATGAATTTAATGTATGGATGGAAGTTGGCACCCTAATGAGGTTTCACGTCAGCCAATCACTTCCAGTATTTGAGATATCTGAGAAAAGAGCAAGGTTCCATAACAAGAAGTGTGTATATTATATATGCAAGTAGAGTTACATAATTTTTTGTATGTGGTAAAATAAATGTAACATAAAATTTACCATTTTAACCATTTTTAGGTGTACAGTTCAGAGGTATTAAGTACAGTCACGTTGTTGTACAATTACACAAATCTTTAACTAAAGCATACAAAAATGAGTTAGTGGCTTAAATACATTCCTACAAAGAAACTATGTGTAAAGATAATACATAATGCAGTCATAAGCGGACAAGAGAATGGCAGAGCTAACACTTTCCCTAGTATTCTCACAGGCCTTCTTTAGCCAGAATGAGGTTTTTAAAAATTAATCTAATCAGATCTTATAAAAATAAAAAAAAGAGCTCCCACATTAAAAAGTATGAAGGTTATTCCAAACATGAATTCATATGGACTATCACTGATGAACTTCACCCTAAGTATAAATACACTGTATCAGGAGTCGGCAAAATACAGCCCTGGGGCCAATGCTCTCCACTGCCTGTTTCTGTACATCAAGTTTTATTTGTTTACTTGTTTGCCTATTGTCTAAGGTAAGGTAAGTATTGGAGACAGAGACTGTATGGTCTGAAAAGCCTCAAATATTTAACATCTGACCCTTCACAGAAAGCTTGCTCACTCTGCTCTACACGTCATGCCTCTCAGAGGCATTCTTTCCAGCTATGACTGCCATTAAAGTAAAAAAAAAAAATTTAATTAACTGAACCTGGGGCCAATTCTTGACTATCTGTCTCATTCAAAGTGTTAAGTGTGTCAATTAAACTATTATTGTCTTTGAACTCCACACTTGCCCTTTGTGATGCGGGCCTGAAACCCTACAAACTACATTTTTCCTTCCTTAGCTGGCTTCCTGTTAGGTTCCACCACAAGAGGCAGGTATTTGGAGAAACAGGAAGGAAGAAGGAAAAAGCTTTCTTGTTTGCTTGCCAGTAGCACCAGCACTGCCCTGGCAGCTGGCTGTCTCCAGCGTTTCTTTCTGAAATGAGCAGACACCACGGCAGTGCTGGCAGCAGCTCTGTGAAGCCCCTTATCTGAACTTTCAGGTTCTGATAACCCCAACCTCTTCCCTTTATTTTCCCTCCCTCAATGTCTCTTTTTGCTTTTCTAAATTTTCTAATACTTAACCAATTCCCTCTATTAATTTTTTTCTGAAAGAACTAGCGTGATTACGATTTTCCTTAGTGGTATACCAAGATTTTCAAAATTAATGACCAGTAAATCACTCTATTCTAACCAAGTATTAATGTTTAAAAATATTTTGAAATATCTGAATAAAACATTACTATAAAAATAATTCATTTCATGTTAATCTAATCCTTTTTTAATTTGTAAAGGTAAAAACCTTTCTGAGTTAAACACAGACATACATAGAGAAATAGAGCTTACAGCTTCAATTCTAAAATCCCAGAAATGGGTCAAGAGTAAACACAGAAATACACTCACCAGTCCAGATATCAAAGAGCTGCTCTTCTCCCAGTGGGCATAAAAATTCTAATTGATTTGAGCTCAAAGTAGACAATCAGAAAAGACTTTAAAAAGACTAACAAAGCAGATTCTCTGTTGTCTCCCATCCCACAGAGATTAGATCCCTTTATAGAGATAAACAAGTGTTCAAACCATAAAGCCAAACTCCCAATCATGGCTGCTATCAATGGGGCACAGCTTAGCTCTAAATCAACCGAAAACAAAGCAAAACCACAAAATCAGTAGAAAGGGAAAATATCAAAGAAACAGAAAATCGGCCAAGTTCCACTGCTGCTTTGGATTCACCTCTGGGAGCCAAGAAAAGACGCACCTGGGTTTCACCTGCTCATGAGGCACATCACTGATTATTTTTCAAACAGCGTTATTGAGGTATATATAGCTGGCATACAAAAACCTGCACATACATAATGTATACGATTTGATGAGTTTGGACATATGCATAAGCCTGTGACACAATCACCACAATCAAGGTAATAAACATATTCACCAATTCCCCCTCCAAAAGAAGTCAATGACTCATAGATAATCACTCTGTTCTAACCAAATTTGTATTAATTTTTAAGCAAAAATATTTTGAACCACTGAACCATATTTTGAACCAGTAAAATATTACTGTAATACAGCTCACTTCATGTTTACCTAATTTATACTTCATGTTTCTCTTTTTAATTTGTACTTTTATGCCTCATATCTAATGTATATAATATGTAGGTATAGAAGACAATAAATTGATGCGCCAATCAAGAGTTCTTATCGTGGCCGACTGAGTGGCTCAGTTGGTTAAGAGTGCAAGCTCTGAGCAACAGGGTCGCCGGTTCAATTCCCACATGAGCCAGTGAGCTTTGCCCGAGCTGAGCTGCCACTGAGCTGCCAACAGGTGGCCGGATAGCTCAACTGGTGAGAGCACGTGCTCCTAACAACAAGGTTGCTGTTTCGACTCCCACATGGGATGGTGGGCTACACCTTCACAACTAAGATTGAACATGGCACCTTGAGCTGAGCGGCCGCAAGCTGCTGATGGGCGGCTGGATGGCAACTGGACTTGGAGCTGGGCTAGCTGCGCCCTCCAACAACTTGGCTGTTCCCCTTCCCCAATTCCCCAATAAAATCTTTAAAAAAAAAAAGTTCTTATCAATGTCATATAAATGGTTCGTTCTGAAGGAGAAGTATAAGAAACCTAATGAGATAATATCAATATCATGAGTCAAATACTTCATGCTTATTTAAGGCACTATTTAGGCTAAGGCATAATTCCTTTGAAGCTGAATAGTTTATTTGGAAGAAAGGAATGGGGTTGGTCCACATAAGTCCCTTCCTTCCAGCCAACTGCATCACACCACTGCTCAGAGTCCCAAATACCATTTGACTCATGAGACTATTCTGAATGGCCTTTTTCTTTATGCATTTATTAAAAAATTTTTTCTTAAGCATCTGCTATCTCTATCTCCCAAGATCTGTGTTAGGTGCTGTGGAGTCAATAGTGACCAACATCAACAC